CGTCCGGCTGGGCTCTGCCCGCCGCCAGGCTTTTGTCCCCCCAAAATCATCGTGACACCCCTTTGTCCATCCCCAACCCCGTGATTGTCCCTCACCGGCGTCATCGTGGTGTCACCAGGGCACCCACCCTCCCTGGATCACGGTGGGAGGAGAGGGACGCGGGCACCATCCGGAGAAGCGGGCATGGGGTTGGCGCGTTGCCCCGTGCGGACGTTGAACATGGGCAGGGTGGAAAGCGGCCGTGGGACATCCCGGCTGGTGGCCATGTGCCTCAGCTCCTCCGTGTCGCCGTGGATGGTGGTGTGGTGGACCAGCTGGATGCTGAGGGGGAAGGACAATTGGGTGCTGCGCCCATGGTCCCACCCGCATACCTTCGGGGAGGGGCTTGGGGGGGTCTGTCACCCTGTTATTGGGGTTTGGCACCCATCAGTGGGGGTCTGCATACCCATCACTGGGGTGTGTCCTCCGTCATTGGGCTCTGCACCCCCATCATTGGGGTCTGGCCCTCCATCACTGAGGTCTGCACTTCTTCACTGGGGTCTGCCCACCCTCCGTTGGGGTCTGCACCCCCATCAATGGGGTCTGCTCTTCATCACTGGGGTCTGCCCACCCTCCGTTGGGGTCTGCACCCGCATCATTGAGGTCTGCTCTGCATCATTGGGGTCTGCCCACCCTTCGTTGGGGTCTGCACCCCCATCAATGGGGTCTGCTCTTCATCACTGGGGTCTGTCCACCCTTCGTTGGGGTCTGCACCCCCATCATTGAGGTCTGCTCTGCATCATTGGGGTCTGCCCACCCTTCGTTGGGGTCTGCACCCCCATCAATGAGGTCTGCTCTTCATCACTGGGGTCTGTCCACCCTCTGTTGGGGTCTGCACCCCCATCAATGGGGTCTGCTCTTCATCACTTGTGGTCTGCCCACCCTCCGTTGGGGTCTGCACCCCCATCATGGGGGTCTGCTCACCCATCACTGGGGTCTGTACCCCCATCATTGGGGTCTGCTCTTCATCACTGGGGTCTGCCCACCCTTCGTTGAGGTCTGCTCTTCATCATTGGGGTCTACTCATCCATCACCAGGGTCCGCACCACATTATTAGGGTTTGTCCCCCATCATTGGGGTCTGCCCCTCCATCACTGGGGGTCTGTACCCCATCACTGGAGTCTGTCCACTCATCACATGGGTCTGCCCCTCTGTCACCGAGCTCTGCAACCCATCACTGGGGTCTGCCCACCCATCACTGGGGCCTGCCCCCCATCATTGGGGTCCTCCTTGCTGGTGTTGAGGCTGACCAAGGCTATTGGAGAAGCAAAACAGCTCCTGTGCTCCAGCCTGCAGCTGT